AATTGTCTGTTCCCTAGAGGAGTAGTATTAATATCTCTTTAGTACTGTATAGAAGTTTGAGATTTAGAGTGATCACCTTAATCTCTAGTACTTCTAGACACCTTAGAAGCTTAACTACTGTCAAGCCTGTTAGATGTTAGAACTGTAGGACTATAACTTTGTACTAACCTACAAACCTGGAACACAAATGACAAAAGCTGATTTACTCTTAAGACAAGTAGGTTATAAAAGGGGGGAGAATAATAACAAAAATCTTGTTCTCCTAGACAATTCCTATTTCATGTCTAAGACAATCTAAGAGATCTGACTTGAATCCAAGAATGTTGACTTTGTCACTTGTATATAGTAAGCTCTGAGACACACACAGGACCAGGTTGTAGTAAAGTAGTTAGAGAAGCAGGCTAGGGATTAGGAGGAGGATAAGGATAGATAGGTTTACTAAGAAGGCTGACTGTATGTTCTAAAGAATCAGAAGCTGTAGGAGGACATTGTTTAAGCTTATTATAACAATCTGACTATAGAACATCTAGACTAACACAAAACACAGGAACTTATTACTCAGAACTACTAGTAGCCAGGAATGTAGAGGGAAATCCTAAAGTACATAACTAGTTGTAATATGTGCTAACAGACTAAGGCCTACCAGACAAGGGTTCAGACTCCTCTACATCTGTATCAGATCCTAGATCACTCTTAGGAAGAAGTCTCAGTAGACCTGATTAGTAAGCTACCCAAGTCTTAGAGTTATAATACTATCTGTGTAATTGTCAACTGATTCTCTAAGTAAGTCTATACAGTTCTGACCCAAACAGAACTCACTTCTAAAGGTATAGTGTGTATTTATCAGAATCATGTCTTCTAGTTGTACAGACTCTCTCAGAAGCTTATTCACAATTGTAGACTGTAATTTGAGTCAAAATTCATGTAGGACTTGTATATACTTCTCAGAATTCAAGGGAACCCTTCTACTACATATTACTTACAGACTAACAGTCAAACTGAGTGAGTCAATTAGGAGATTAAGCTCTACCTCCAGATGTTTATTAATTATTAGTAATCAGATTGGTCTGAATAGTTAGCCCTAGCAGAATTCATACACAATAACTAGCAACACTCTACAATAGGACAGTCCCTGTTCTTCCTCAATTATAAGAGACATCTGTACTAGAGGACAGTTCTAAACTAGAACAGTAGTTCTGAATCTGTAACAGACTTTACAGAACAGATACACAAGACTAGGGAAGACACACAAGCTCTTTTAGAGAAGGTAGTACAGGTAATAAAGTAGAACTACAATTGGAAGAGATCTGTAGCTAAGGATTACTAGCCTAGGGACAAAGTTATACTAGAAGCTACTAACCTGACTATAGATTGCCTAATAAAGAAGTTGGACAACAAGCACTTCAGACCCTTTGTTATTAAAAAGAAGGTTAGCACCTCTGTCTACAAACTCTAACTTCTAACAATATGAAAGTACATACACCTAGTGTTTAACAAGGTTCTACTGTCTTAGTACTACAATCCAGGTTTTCCTTCACAACAAAGACCCTTACCACCTTTACCAGAACTTATTAGTTCTGAACTAGAATACAAAGTAGAGTATGTAGCAGATACTAAGCTAATACACAGGAAGCTCAAGTTCCTTATCTACTAGAAGGGATACTCAGTTGAAGAACACACTTAGGAACCTACTAAGAATCTCACTTATACTGTTAAGACAATCTGAGATTTCTATCAACTTCATCTGGGTGCTCTGTGTCAACTCTGCCTTACAGATTTCCAAACCCTACCATTCTAACTTATGCCTGAACTACTGACTAAGTCCAATGTTTACTAATCAGGACAATTGGTTTTAGAGGGGGGGTAATGTTACAGTTCTCTACTCTTATACCTTTAGTTCCAAGTGTTCTACACCCTTCTGTACCAGAACTCAGGACTTTCATCCCTTAGAGGCACTGTCTATAGACTATATACATACTGACTCTTACTACTACCCTTCCTTACTTCATCATTCTATTCCTTTGACCACCCCTTCATTCTTTGTTCATTCTATAGTCTCTTACCCTTTGTCCATCCCTTCATTCTTTGTACCTTTATCTTTGACCTTCCTTTCTTTCATTCTTTATAGCTTATTATTCTTAGTAGCTCATACTCCCTGAGTACTCTTGTGTAGTTTAGTATATATAGGCATACAAGATCAGACTAGTCCTGTAGTCTTGATCTTGTCTACTCTAGGTAGTCCTGTACTCTTAGGCTTACTCTATATACTCTACTCTTGTCTTACTCTCTCTCTCTGCCTGTTCTACAAGTTCTGACTACATTCTAGTACTTGTGTTCTGTATTTCTGTTGTGTAGGATAGTTGTAGCCTGGGTCCCCTTACTGAGCCTTCAGGTCCCCTCTACACTATTACTAACACAATTGCCTTATGTAGAATTACTATACTTGGAATGTCTCAGACTATCAGACTTTACTATATAGTATATAAGGTAGACACTCACTTGATGTCTTAATAAGAGAGAGTACTTGGGGCACTCCTACTACACTTATTAAAATCTCTTATTAAGCATTGCCCTTAGTAGACATAAAAAGTAATACTTATTAAGAGATTATACTTGTTAACAAGTAATATTCTAGTGTCTACAAGGGTAATAGTAGACTTGAAATGTTATACTTAATAAGAGGTTATACTTAATGAGAGTAATGCTTAATAAGAGGTTTTACTGTATTCTTAACAGTACTAGTGTTAGTACTATATTACAATTACTTACTATTAATACTAAAGTTACAAGTAGGACTTTATATTAGTACAAGTCTTTAGAGTATTAAACAGAAATAAAATAAAGTAAATAGTATTATAACTAAATATGTTTTTTGTAAAATAATCTCTGTCTTCTTATTGTATTTTATAAAAGTTAATACAAACAGTATCTTTTAGTCAGAACTTTAGAATTAATTTATATTTTTACACTTTATTTACTTAGATTTAATTAAAATTTCTTAGAGTAACTTAATAAATAAGTTTATAAAAAATCTGAACTTAACAGCTGAGAAAAGTGTAAAGGATTAGTACAGAGGAATATAATAGTAAGCAGTTCTTAAAAATAGTTTTAAAAAGACTCTAATTTGTACTATAGTGTTTTCTTATATAATTAAGAGAGTAATTAAATAATATGTATATACTCTGTTTTTTATTTCTGAAAAAGATTTACTAATTGTATATAGAATTTGTATTATAATGTATATTTACTAAACAATAGTATAAGTCTTATCTCTTTATTTTTAGTATAATAGAAACTTTAGTTTATTAACCTTTTAATAGTAGAAACTATTAATTAGATTTTAAATATAGTAGTTTTGAAAAAGTACATTCTATATCTTACAAACTGTTTTAACAGTTTAGAATAATTACTTAGTATGTTTTAATTATTATTATAATTATACACTCTTCTAACTAAAACATTTTAGTTGTAAATTTAGAAACTAGACAAAATAAAAATTATACTTAGAAAGAAACTAATAATTTCCTGAGAGATAATATAAATAATAAAGATCTTATATATTAGACAAATAATACATACTATTATGTCTTATACATATAGTAAGATAATAGTTACTTTTAATAAAATGAGTATAAATCTTAAGTTATAAAGTGTTAAAAGTATTTAACTATAAAGACAGAATTATATTAATGTGTTTAATACAATTTCTGAAAATGACTTTAGTTTTAAACAGATTAGAAATTTTAGTACAGTGAAACCTCTCATTAAGTATTGCCCTTGGTGGACATAAAAAGTAATACTTATTGAGAGGTTATACTTGTTAACAAGTAATATTCTAGTGTCTACAAGGGTAATGGTAGACCTGAAATGTCATACTTAATAAGAGGTTATGCTTAATGAGAGTAATGCTTAATGAGAGGTTTCACTGTATATAGTTTTATTATTTACTAAGAAGTACTACTGTGTTCTTTAGTAAGGAAAATAGTTTAATAATCAGATACTCAACTTTTGAGAACAGTATATACTATACTTAATAGAGCAAAACACAGGAGATACAATTGTTTATATAAAACATGTAAACTATACATATTACTAAGGAGTAAGAGAAATACTCTATGTATTCATTACTCTGACTAATAGTACTAAGTTAACAGGCTTGTAATATTTGCTATTATACTATTAGAGATACATTCTCACTACACATTTGCATTTGGTGATAAAGACAGGTGAGTCATAATATAGGATGTTCAATATAGTAGAAGGCTTAAGAAATGTAACAGAGTAGAGAGGTTTGTAGTTCACAATCAGAAAGTCTTTCAGGCTCTGAGTCAGAATGACTTTATTACAATAATGTCAAAGTAAAGGTTTTTATGAATTTTGCCTCCTAGATCACTTCCTATTGTTGACAAAATAGATGAACAACACTCAGGTTGGAGACAAGTTTGGTAACACTAGTATAGATGATTGTAGATAAACAATTCTCTTTGCATTTATACTGCTCACTTCCACAGCTCTGCATCCTCTTTCAGACCCATAATCTAACATAAGGACCTTCAATTTACGTATGCGTGTTATTCTACTGCCAAAAAGATATAAAATACTGTACAAACTAATCTGAGCACACTGCAATTAAGTTACTATGATTAATCCGCGAAAAAGGCTGATGATGATTCATAAGGAAAACAAAGGAGTTAATGACTTGGAACGCAGAAAATGCATGATGGTAAGGAACGAAGCGAGGTCAAAGAAACGAGAGACAAGTCCATCCGTGATTCTTAATCTGATGATTTAAAAGGATGAAAAGGTATGGAAAGATATGAAAATGATGAAAATGCATGAAAATGTACAAGAAAGCAGAGAAACTTCATAAGAGCGAACGCGTAGTAAAAGAAAGATTAAAACTTCGAAACAGGTCAAGAAAGCAAATAGTGTGGAGCCTCGGCACCGAAAACATCCAGATCCAGCCAGACCAAAGCTATCAAGCCGTCATCACGTATTACCTACCACTTCACAGCAACGGTCCTCTTCGTCACATCCTCCATGACAGTGCTCACAGCCTCCTCCACCATCTTAACGGCCTCACCAAGCGGATCACCCTCGACCTCCGCCAGACTCGCATGACACCCTTCGAGCATAGCGGCGATAGCTCCTTGGCCAGTGTAGAACCACGTACACATCGCCTGTTAATATCGCGTTAGGGAGAGTAAGAACTGTGTTCATGTAAAAATAATTGCAAAATGACGCACAATCATAATGTAGAACGCAATCATAACGTATCCCTCCGCCCAATTCGTCTTCGAGTCAGCCGTGATATAGTTCACAAGGAAACACGCTCCAAGAAGGACAGCAACCTCATACATATCAAAAAGCAACAGAAGCGGCCGATTCGTCCACCACGCCAACAACACCAGAAACGGCATCCAAAACAACACAAACTGGATGCTCAACTCGATTTGTCGTCCCTCTGCAAGTGCCTTTGGTGATTCCGGTTTCAGGAATAACATCTTGCGGAAGAAGTATAACACCGCGATAGCTCCGTCTGCAGAGAATGATACGATAGGGAGTAGGATTAGACCGAACCATTCTTCTGTGATCTTCCCGTCTTCTCGAACGTGCTCGATCGACTCAACCAACTAAAATGAAATAAAATAAAAATTATCAGAGAAATTAGTTAGTTAAAAGGAATTAAATGTGAATAATTTTATTTATTTATTTTAATGTTAATTGTTTTAAAACTTACCATTACAGCGGTGATAGCCATAATAACAATTGTCGCAATCAAGAACAGAGCGCAGAACCAAGGGTTCACTTCCGGCTCCGTACGCAACAGATGTCGTTCATGCCGATGTAGTTCTTTCGGGGCGCTATCGGTCGGCAAGAAAGCATTATGATCGCCAGGTGGATTATGCAGGAAGATCCGGGATGCACAGTATCTGTTGATAGAGATGCCATAGATCATGCGTCAACGATTGCCTGGTACGAACGGTAGGAAACTCAGCGACTTACATTGTGAGGAGAATAACAGCAAGTCCATGGCTCATTTTTAGAAAATTGTCAATTGAATTTTGGCCTTCGAGTGCAGCTTCCGCTGTAGTGCTATTGTCAAGCGCAGCAAAGAACGCTGCAGGTATTAGCAAGCTCAGTACCCTATTTTAAAATTAGCCTAGTAAGTACGAAGCTTTCGGTGTTGATGAGCCGCCGGAAACATACCCAACGGCAAGAAGAGTAAGGTTGAGCTGTGTATAGTGTGGATGTAAGGATTGTTGGTATACACCCATTCCTCCTGTGAGGAAGCCAGTCCCCGGTACTAGGAGTAGGTGTAGCAAAACAACACCTTCATGATACAGTTAGCTCAGACTTTGATTGTATTGCACAATGGAAAGTTGAAACACGAAGGCATACCAATAATAGTCGATTGCAGAATTCGGAGTCTATACGCCGAAGAATTACGTTAGTCTCGCTAAGATAAAATAAATCTCCGGGGAAGCGAGAGGCGAAAAGCGTAAAGGTACAGCCAGCCGCACTTCGATATCGGCGACCTTCGGGCATGATAGAACGGAGACTTACTCGCATCTGACCAGCAAAATTATGGCAAGAGCAGCTTCAACGGCACTAAAGGTGTCTCCATTCAATGCCAGAGGACGACAGAAGTATCAAGAACTCTCTCACTTATTTAAGGTCACTATAATCAAATCACCGAGATCCTTTCCAGTGTACAGCGCCATTTGCTCTCCACCGAATTCGAAAAGCCTCTCGAGTGGTATGATGGCCAAGAAACATACTATTACAGGATGAGCGTCGCAGCGAAATCGAGGACAAATGCGAACATACGGGAGAAGACGACCTTATCGTCAACCCAAGTGCCTTCTTCCTTCTCGAAATGCGCAGCCCAAGCAAAAGGAATGAATATGAGAAGTACGTTCAATACTATTACGGGACGAATGGATTAGCATGCGTGAATCATACAAAGTGAGATATTGTGGACATACTGCTACTAAACAAAGTATTCCTGGCGCTCTCTCGCCAGCCCACTTTCTTTCTGCCTTTACCACAGAACCGATCCCATATTTCCCGACGACGACTCTGTCCTGTTGGATCCATGTAGAGTTCGTACTCTACCTTGTTCACAAAGTTATGCAAACCATCCCCCATCCGCACTGTCAGGCCTCGACGTAAGTTTGCACCTTGATCAGGAGCAAACTTAGGTGATTGCCCTGGTGCATCGAGAGGCCTCATCTCTATCAGATGATTCTCACTGGAGCGAGTATAGGTACTACGCATGATTGGTCTGGGTGGCTCGGTGAGGGTGGCAGCAGTGGGAGAGGTGTGTAGCTCATTTTTGTGAGTGTCAGGAAGCGCGGGACTGATTGGCGATGCAGCAGTTGCCGGGGCGGCGTCGGCCATCGTCCACCGGAGGACTGTAAAATGAGAAAGGAGAGTGTGTTTGAGGTAAACGGAGGGTGCGGGATACCAGCGAGGGTGAACTGGCGTCGCGTAGTACACGTTTACGTGCCAAGCGATTCATTCCTAGTCCAGAACACCTTCACAACCCAAAATACCGCACCTGCCAAGAGCCAACGGCGCTCATCAGTAGTCGCCACCGCTGACTGCCAGGTGCCATCTCTAGTTCGTCTGTCTGAATGTCGTCGAGCCTGTATGCGTTCGGGATGAAAGCGTCCAGCAGTCAGAAATGTAGACTATTGTATAGCCAATCACGAGAACGCGTCGATCAACAACTTACCCGAAAGACGACATCGCAGAGACTTGCTTCCGTCCTCCATCTTGTTCACACTTCCTCATTGTTTATCCTCGAATCCTGCACCATTAATATTGTGTGCTATTATAAAGAAGCTGGACTTGTGTAGCCGCATCACACGTGTCGCACCCAGTGAGCTGCTAATGAACACAGTTCAATCATATCTGAGGGGAATCATCAATAGCCTTTAAAACACCTGTTCTCTGTCTTCGGCACATCCCATCACTTGGCACGTTGATCTCCACCGTGGCATATGACGAATCCCTCTCTGTGTAAACATCCGGTTTGTCAGGGTTGTATGAGGATAAGGTGTTGATCATCCTCAGAGCTCCGAAATTAGAGGAACGATTGACCCAGGTGGCGCAGAAGAAAGCACCTGTCAACCTGAATCTTATACTTATGGGTGATCATTCTCTCTCATCATGCTTGTCCTACCGTAATCTCCGCGGCCAAGCCTCGCTTGCCTTTCAATGGACCTACTCATTGGGGTCTCCACTGTCTTGGACTAACTTTGCACTCTTGGCACGGAGCCATCGAATGATGCAGCTACTTAGAATACACGGCTAAGAATGTCGCAAAGACACTAACTGATATGATCAGCGTACTCTTATTCTGGGAGAACTGAAGTTGTATTGTACTGACTGTTGCTTTCGACCCGGTTACCGTTCTGCAACTCGTGCAGATAACGTCGCATGGTTCCAGCAATTTTCAGAAGCCTGCTCCAAACTGAGAGACGACTACTCCTCTCAGCGGACGTCTTATTTCACCCAGCTGATAATACTGACCCATTCTTGCGCAAAGAATTGACATGTGTCGATTCTCTGTATCAGATAGCATATAATCAACCGACCGAAACGTGAGTCGACTTAGGTACGCCTTGGATACGGTATTTACTTTGCACCGAAAGTCGTCGTTCGTTTACTGACGCGAACTAAATTTCCAGTTCTGGCGTTCTTCTCGCATATCCTAAGATATCTTTTCCGGCCATCCTGGTTGACTTCGGCGTTAGGGGAAGTGACGTTAACATTGATATCACCTTCCGGTAAGACTTCATGACCGCGATTGCCCTCTCTAAATCAAGCCCGTGGAAGGAGTCCCGAAGGAAATTCTCTGCTGCACTCGCTAGTACCAGAACGCCGAACCAAAGACTCAGCCATTTTCAGAAGCTTACTCCGAACTGGAAGTCAACTACTCCTCTCAGCACAATTACGCTAACCATCCCTTGTGCAAGAAAAAAGAGGTGCGTCGCTTCTCTGCATCAGACAGCATTTTCAACTGAAATGTAATTGGTTTAGGTATATCCCAGGTTATAGCATTTGCATTGCTATAAACCGTTGTCTGTTTACCTTCATAAATTAATTTCCAGTTCTGGATTTGAAAATCGATTCGCATCAGGAGCTATGTAAGGTTACTTATTCATACTCACAGCCAGTAGGAAACCATATTTCAAAGGGAACTTTGAACGGTCAGGATACCTGTTTCCTGTCATTGCTCGATTTTAGCTTTCACTGTGTTGCCCGTTATGTTGATCTTGTCTATAGCATGCACGACACTTAATGAGATCTCACTGCCTGTGAGCATCCAGGTTGAAAGGGTTGCATGAGACGTTAGCCATTCTCATAGCCAGCTCCAAAGCTGAGTGCAGACATTCTTCAGCAATCAATCAAATGGTAGGAAGATAAATGCCCGTCGACTTGCATCTTGTCAAGTTGTATTTGTGGGTGATCATAGGCTCAAGACACTTGTTCACCACAATCTCCGTGGCCAAGATCGCTTGTCCTCAAATGGACCTACTCATTCAGGTCTCCGTTGTCTTGGACTTACTTTGCATCCTTAGCACTGATTTATTGAGATTGGCAGATATATTTGTTACCTTAGAGTATACGAAGAAGAGTCACGGTCTGGCAGTACCGAAGCTTGATTACATCGATACGTCAGGTTTCGGCCGCCTCTCATGTGAAAGTTGACCTTGCTCGGACTCTGCATCGGCTCTTGTTACACATGGTCATAGTTAATTGGAGCTCTAGAACTTTATTAAACTGCATGGGATGCTATAGCTTTGGATCGATTGTAATAACGCGCTCCATATGTACGGCAAGCCTGCCGGAGCTTGGTTAGTCTTTACAACAATTTTTGGCTCTTGGATAACTATATTACTAGACTTCGACATCTGATAACGAGTACCAACATTGCTATTGCCTCTTGGTAGGATCTCATAACAGCGACTACCCCAAATTAAGCCCGCCGCTGACCTTGGAGGGGGAATTCTCTGCATTTGCTAGTAGCAGAACGCCCAATCTCCAAAGATTCAGCCACTTTCAGAAGCTTACTCCGAACTGGAAGGCAACTACCCGTCTCAGCATAATTCCCAGTGTGATCCAGCGAGTAATATTGACCATCCCTTCGCGCAAAAAGTGTAGTGCGTCAATTTTCCGTATCAGATACAAGATAATCGATGAAACATTGAAACGTGATCAGCCTAACTTATGCCGTGCGGTACAGTATGCGTTTTGCCATAAAGCATTATTCTTCTACTTACACAACCTGATTTCCAGTTCTAGTTTTCTTCTCTGCTGCATGAAATTGTATTTGGTAAGTGGTAACACCGAGGTGTCCGGCGGCCATGCCTCAACATGGCCAGCTTTTAGAAACAGAAACGAATTTAGCTCTTGGGTGGCCATCCCGCACTCCCGGTTGTGTTGTGTTCGGCATTTAGGCAATCAGTACAAGCATCTACGCCACCTTTCAGTAACATTTCGGGGCCGCGATTATTCTAAATTAAGCCCGATACGGTCTGCAGTAGTATCACTGGAAGGATCTTCTCTGTGCTCGATGGTAGTGGAACGCCCAATCACCAAAATACAGGAGCCAGCTCTGAATCGAATGATACCTCCTGCTGTCGGAAATTTTCTTGTTATCTTCCAGTATGTAAATATCGATCCTTCATTTGCCCGAAAAGAATAGTGATGAAGCCTGATCGGAATAGCTATGGCCTGAGTTAAGGCAATGACTTTGCCATAAAGGTTTGCTCAACCACCGACATGAGCTGATTTCTCATTCCGGCCTTCTCACTCCCTTATCCCATGATATAGTGATCGGTAATACTGAGGTGGGAGGCGTGCACCGCTCGAGCTTTGCTCAGCGTTCAGAAATAATTTTATCACTTTGCCACTCATCCGGTTCGACTTCAGTGTTTGACAAGTGGCACAATCATCGACTTCAACGTCCTGTAGACTCAATGACTACGATTATCCTAATCAGGCCCGCAACTAGTACTGGCTTTGGAAATAGTACTGGACGAAATTTCTTTGTATCCGGTGGTGGCAGATTCAGGCAGGACGCCCAATCTCCAAAGTTTCAGCCCTTTTCCGAAGCTGGCCCCGAACTGAAAGACAACTACTCCTCTCAGCAGATTTCTTGCTGCGGTACGGCGTATAATATCATACTCCTTCCACACGCGAGAAAATTTAGATCCTTTATTTTCTGGGTCAGACAACATGTCGTTAAGTGAAACCCGCATCGCGAGAAAGTCTTATAGCTTATATTAGCTTATAATGGTTCAAAATATGTAAATACTGTGAAAACTGTAAAATGCAAAATAATTGATCTCAATTTCTGAGAAACAGTATAAGGCATTATAAGATCCAAAAGGTTTGTCAATATTCAAAAGGTTTATTAGTATTTCAAGCCTAAGGAAAGCTTGCTGTTCTTTATAATAAGTAAAGACATTGTATACATTATAAGGCATAAAAGATTTGTTCACATTATAAAGGTACATAAAGTTTTTTATCCCTTGCAATAAGTAAAATGACTTATATTTGATCTCGAAAATGATGAGGAGTATATACTATAGGAAGGATGGTATTAATTATAATGTATGCAAATTAATATAACAGTCTAAAAGACTGTTCCAAACCAATATACATTTTTCTGCCTTATAATGTTGACAGAAGCCTTACTAAAGAATTACAATGTATATACAAACTCTACTTATATTCATTTTACTTTTTTGCCCTTACATGCATTAATAATGATTCAAATTATTTATATTTTTGTGGCAATATTACAACATTACTAAATACTAATTATAGCACTAACAGGTGCAGGAGTGAGAAGAAAAGTAGTGAAAGCAGAAAGCATACTGTATGAGTGTCAGGGCAAGAAATGAGACAAATGGCTGATCTTGTTAACACAAAGCAAGGGAAACAGTTACAAGACTTACTAAATGAGGCAAGTAAGGTGAACGTCAATGTGTAGAATTAGAAAGTGGAAAAATGAACCTAAACCTCATCCATGTGTGTATTGTCTGGCAGGTGAGTGTCTTACGTTTGAGTAGCCAGTCCTTGACCCTGGCCAGCTAATCCTCCTGCTTAGGACTGTCCACACCCTTTACAAGCCTTCCAAGCTCTCAAAATGGCTGCAATTGATGACTCCTTGTCCTCCTCAGGTTCAATAGTGAGCAATTCACCAGAGGAGCCGAAAACCTGCCTAGAAACCCAGTAGTTAGTTAATGTAGCTTTAAGTAAATTTAAAAATGTATAAAACATACCCATTCCACCAATTAAGTGTGTCCTAGACTCATAGAGACTTGCAGTCTTTGAAAAACTCAAGAATAGTGTAATAAAACACTTTGAAATTAAAATTTTCATTGACCTCACCAAAGGTTTCAAGTGTTGAAATAAAAAAGTGTGCCTATCATATCAAAAGTATTGTCAGTGTTGCTAGATTATATTACTATCACAGCCTGAGTACTTACCTAGACACATATGTAGGCAATCATCTCTAGGGTGACAGACTTCACACCTACAATCTTAGCATTATTTGCCTGCATTGTTTTACCTTTACTACCAGGCTCAGCATCTACAGAACTTAGGCTTGTAAAGATCAGCTAAAGACACTACAAAAGAAGTATCAGTATTTGTAAAGAATAATAGGAGTGTACTTACTTTGACAAGAAAACAGCCTTAGAATAGGCCCTTGTCCATTACTTCTGGATTGTATGACCCTTCCTCATACAGGAACACAGGGAATGACTTATGTGTGATTGGGTATTTTTTTGACTTTACATTGTCTTTGAAACTATACAGTAAGGATATGAGTAAGAGTGTTCATTTTTTGTTTGACTTCATCTGTTAGTCTGCATACCTTTCCTTACTACTGTGTGTATGCAGGAGTAGCATTAGTACAATCATCTGTAACAATTGTGGATAGTGTATACCTCTGCCTATCTTACTTGGTTGATTGTCAATCAGTGGTTCTGGCCAGCCTTCCTTGAGCACATGGTAGTGCCCCCTCTGTTTGAGTGTAGATGTGTCATTACTGTGACCTTGCTCTGCTTTCTTGTTCACCTAAAGTAAATAGAATAGATTAGTATTATTAGTGACTACAGAATACAGTGTGTAATAATGAAAGTCTGATGACAGAGATGGAGAATGAATTCTGAGGGAATGAAGATAGATAGGGATAGTACACACACACATGTATTGGCTGTAGAGTAGACATTGGCTGCAAAGTTATTTTGTCTGTCAACTGGAGTAGAACAGTAAGGAATGTGATAGAATAGATAGGTGCAACTTTATTGTGTTATACACATACCTTAACCCAAAGTGCCTTAGCCTCTAGACTAGAAAGTGCTTCATAATAGGCTCTCTCATTAGAAAAGAGTGTAAGGACACTCTTATAAACCTTGAAGAGAAGGTCCTTCTCTTCTTCACAACTGACACAGAGTTGTTAGTAATTACCAGAGGAGCAGAATATAATCAAACTTATACATTTGTAATAACTCTCTTACAAAGTTCCATGTCCTTAGTGTCATAGTTTGTAGCTATCACTTCTATTCTCAAATACATTTTGAGAGATTCAACAGCTATACTATAGTTCATAGTACCTGGAATGTTAACCCAAAGGTCAATGTTCTGCTTGATAGACTGTGAGAGCTGACATATTTGTTTGAGTGTGTCTCTGTACCTGTGTATTATAAATGTTATAAGTGAATGTAATAGTGTGTAAAAACAACAAGATGACTCACTTGATTTGCTTTGAATGGCCAGATTTTGTTACAAGGCTCCTCTCCTCAAGTGTTTACTGTTTTGAAGGTAGTAGGACACTTGGCAGAGAAGAAACCTTACTCAGGTCAAGGCTTGGTGCTTGTCCTTGGTTGAGAGGGGGTAGGGAGGACAACCTGAGTTTGTATGAGTGAAAACAAACTAACATATTGAGTAACTTGAGAGGAAGATGGATTGAGACAAGAGAACAAGGACTGAGAGTACTAGAGATAGTATAAGGGTAAGTCAGCAAAGTCTAGCAAGTTATTAAAAGTGATTCAAGGAACAGTACTGACTAGGATACTACTAACAAGTAGTAATATTAATACTTTCTGTGTCAAAGATAGAAAGAGGATGAAAGGAGTGAGTGAGTAAGGATGAGGAAGTAAGGCAACTGTGACTGAGAGTGAGAGCCTAAGAGTGTTGACAATAAGAGCTCTTGTAGGAGGGGGGGGGAAGGACTTATCTAGCAAAAATATGCTAGGAAAAGTAAGTGTATTCAAAATGAGAGGATTTGATATACTTAAAATAAGAAGTACACAGTCACTTGGCTGCTAGTGCTCTACATACACTGTACATAGCCTTACATGTATAAAATACTTAGCTCAGACATGTGTAAATTCAGTGTTTCAGCTGTATATTTAGTAATGTTTAATAAACATGTAAATTGACTAGCTTGAAATTATTAATATTAGTCTGTATCTGAGCCAGGGGTCAAATATTGGCCAAGCTGCTAGGGAACTTCAAGTTAGCTTTATGTACAGAATTGAAGGTATCTTTCATAACATACAGTAGGCTGTAACTATAATAATAGACTTTGTACAGCTTGAATGTAGAACCTACTTACTATTAAAGTTGACATATGGGTGGATCTGATACTACTCAGTAATTAAGAAAATGCTTGCTATTTTCCTTCTAGTCTAGTAGTACTTCTCAATTTACTTGTACTAAGATACTTACACTTTAGTATAGAGGACAGTACTATTGTTGTAGGACTGTAGTATACCTTAATACTTACTATATAGAGTATATGTCTGTACAAGTCTTAGGAAGAGGTCTGACCCACTTCTCAGACTTGTACTGAGAGTAGAAAATGATGATTACTTACTTAAAGCAAATGCAAATTATTAAGAAGACAGAGATGAACCATACAAAGTAATAAACAATGTCTAGTAGTGTTACAAATAGTGATTACTATGATTTGTACAGCTTGTACAAGTCTTCTTTCTCAATTCTTACTACTTTCTAGAGTACTCTCAGGCTAGCACAGTCTCAGACTTGTGCTACAACCTGTATATAAGGTAGTAAGGGAAGTAAATTGAGAAGGACTGATATGAGCTTTAATATTCTTCTACAGTTTGCTACATAGGTACATATACTGTCATAGTAAGCATATCTGTAAATTACACTACTGTGAGAGAGTACTAACAGTAGCAGCACATATTACTGTATTTAAATCTCAGTCCTAGTTAGTAAAGATCACTAATATTGATCTATCTTGTTGTAAACCTCTACATGTTAGATACTAGTAAAGCAGACATTCAAAGGCATATGTCAGACTAGACTGTGCTTCTCTAACTCTTTAAGATACCTTCCTTTATTTGTAAGGCTTGTAGTAAGGTCTTTAAGAAGAAGAATACACAAGCAATCTATTATAATTATTGTGTTAATGTAAGTAGTAGTCTAAACTCTCTAAAACATATTAGAGAGTCAAATAACAAAGTGAAAAGAGAATGAGGTTAAGTATGTGTAATAGTATCTTGATTCTTAGGTAATGCTCACCATTTTGTGTAGCTGAGACCCAGGCATTCAAAGTGGAGGATAATACTCAGACTGTTCCAGCCCTATTTGACAAGCCTCTTAAGTTTCCTGAAGGAACTAAATGTAAGAAATAACTACTAAAGTAATTTACAAATCTTCTACTATTTACTTCAAACTTGTCTGTACTTCCTACTGTATCTCTTCCACACCTTCTTAAGTTCATACCATCTCAGCTTCCTTCTCTACTGTCTCAAGTCCTCTCTCTAACTCTAGCAACTCTAGAAATCATGTAAGAAACAAGAAGGAGACTCTTTTTGTCTGAGCCAAACAAATACAAGTTACTTTAAGAGTACCTGGATTTGCTAGATGACTTCCCTAACAAGACACTCAACCTTAAGGACTTATACAACTTACCTAGACTTTCTGCAAGTAATACTCTGACTCAAACATCCTTACTCCCTAAACTTATTACTAATAAATATGTACTGTTTAATAATGTAGCAACTTACCTTTTAATGAGCTGGGTGAATTGCAAAGTGAAAGAAAAGACAAATAACAAACTGGATGTTCTTGTATACAAAGTCTTACTTCATCCAGACTTCAAGCTATTAGACTTAGTAGACTATAGAGTAAGGTGGGAGAATTCACACATTGACAGTCTACACTATAATAATGATTCCCCTGAGTCTTCCCATTCTGATGACTGGCACAAAGGATCAGTTAAGATTAAGCTACCTTCTAAAGACAACAAGAAGTGGCCTGAGGGCAAAGAAAGAGCTCCTGAATTCAAAGTCAGGGGAATATACTACTAGCCCTTACTAACAACAATCTTTAAAGCCTTAAACAACCCTTGTTCTCCTCCTTTTCATTATATGCCTTACAGGGAGCTTTAGAGACTAACAGTATGTATAGTATTAGAGCTGTATAGCAAACTTTCTACTGACCCTTGATTATCTCTCCTCTTCCTTAAGTACAACTCCTCTCCTGAATACATTTATAGTGAACTATATTGCTCAGATTATTGGTTGGAAGCCTACAAAGAAGTACAAAGCTTTCCAACACAAGACAGTACTGAAAACTTTGTACTTCCTCTTATTCTCTATTCAGACTCAATGTATCTTGCAAATTTCAGTTCTGCATCACTTTGACTAATATACATGTACTTTGGAGGCCAATCTAAGTACATGTATTGTAAATCTTTGTAGACAGCTTGTTATCATCTAGCATATATTCCTTCAGTAAGTACATTCCTTCTATATTTCTACTGTTCTTTGTAATACATGTTCTGACATACAGTATTTACATTGATAAAGCTCTCTGTATTAGTTTAAGATACATATAATGAGGTTTATAAACAATCTGCATCTTTGGAACTCCTCACTCACTTAAAGTGCAAACTATTTCAAGCTGTCTTGTCCTATATCCTCTTACAGTCTGAAATTCTTAAGGTATACAGCTCTAGTATTCTATTTGACTACTCAGATGGAAAATTATACAGACTCTTCCTAAGGTTTGCTTTTTACTCAGCAGACTACCCTGAGAAGTACATCTTGTATCTATTTACTATCTTCTTGTTTGCATACACTACAATCTTCACCTTAATTTACACAAGGATAACTGAACATTGCTACAGGATGCTCATTACTAGCTTGTGTGTTTTAGGCAAATTCTCAAGCCCTACCAATATTATACTAACCAAATTCAACCATATGCTTAGTACCAGAGCCAATCAACAAAGACAAACTTGCAAACATATTGATGATACAGTACAGTAAGAGAAGATTTCTAGGGCACAACAGTGGATTTTTCAATTAGGGAAGCCTGTAGAATCTACCTGGATAAAAAATCTCCTTAAGGATGGATTCCTCATACTAGTTAATGTAAGTGAACTGTTACTATCCAGGCAATACTCCTTATTACTTACTTATCTTATTTTTATAGAATGCTTTTTCTGTACTTTGCAAGTACAGATTCAATTTCTTTGACTTATTTGTCCTAGACCCTATGTACAAATTTGAGCTAAGGGTCTAGAAAGTAATATTTACCTACCTCTTACACATTCTTTTTGTGTAGGGAGGAGAGAGCATACTAATACTTAATAGGAGGTAAGCATCTATGTTACAGCCTCATCAATTGCCTTACTGTCATCTATTTAGATATATTCATTATATTTTAAGTATTACTATACTCTTACATTCAGAATAGATACAATCCAGCAATTTTCTGGAAATATGTCTGTAATGAAAAACATTACAGCTAGAGACTTCAAAGATATTCTACAGGTAAGTGCCTCCCTCAAGACTATTAATATATATACACTACAATAGGATGTGTATTACCTAGTGTGCCATACTGGCCTTTAAGGATTTACTGCCAAAGAAATATAATAAAGTAGTCCTTGACCTTTTATTCATCTTAGCAACCTGGCATACACTTACAAAGCTCTACATTCATACAGAGACTATAGTTTGGTTCCTTGAGGAGACAATGACATTGCTAGGATACTAGGTATAATACTTTAAGAAGACTGTATGCTTAGCCTACAATACACACAAACTCTTAAAGGAGATTACTACTCAAGGATGTTGTCAAGCTGTCCTACTCAATAAGGGTAAGGCAAAGGGACTAGATGTAAAAACAATCAGATCTAGTGTGAAAACTAAAACACTCAACATTAATACACTGAAATTTTATTCTCTTAGTGTATATACTTCTACCATTTGTTGATTCAGTATGACTGATTCATACAGTACACAAATTGTTAAGTGTCTACTTCACAATATGCTCTCTATACTTATCTTGATTGTATATCTTCACAGGGGGAGTCTCAGTATAGGAGACTCAAATGTATGTATGCTAGGACAAACAAGTGAGACACTGTGAAGGCAGTTTTACAACTAGAGGGTAGGACCTGTAAGATATGTAAGATTAATTCTTGTATCAGCCTTAATGATGAATCTGGGGATCCTATCAAGCCAAGGGATCTTGAAGTCTATTATAACATGGTAGCATTAAAAAAGGATTCTATCCATCTTTATTAGTAGCTTTCAGATAATGATTCTGACCCAGCTTTACAGGTGAGTACATTATCAGTCTCCTCTTTCTATTTCACATATACAAGTACTGATACATTACACACTTGCTAGAATTTCCTGCCAAGTCTTTGTAGGCACCTGCTTGGACACATTCTCTTAAGACAGGAAGACAAGGCCTTCACTACAGACAAGCTATACAGTCTCTACATAAAAAATGACAAGCTTTTCTGTCTCAAGGTGCTATGTATCAATTACACAACCTACAATGTTAGAAGAGCCTAAGATTCACTCAATCTACAGACATATGCTAATATTATGTTACTATTGGATAACACTGAACATCCCTACATTTACACTTGAATAATTGGACTTTTTCATACAGAGGTCAGCTATATAAGTCTAGGGGCCAATCCTAACTTCCAAAACTTTAATTGGCTCAATTTTGCTTAGGTTTGCTGGATAAAAGTTGATGAGAATGGCTTGTTTGTTAAGAGACAACTCCCTCAATTACAATTCTATTGTCATACAGATCCTAGTGCCTTTGGATTCATTAACCTAGACCTTATTCTTTAAGGTGCTCATCTAATCCTGCAATTCTCTAAGGGTACTGTCCAGACACTCTTACCTCCATCCCTTACTTGCTAACCTGAAGATAAGAACAAAGATTACAAATTTTACTTTGTAAATGTGTAAGCATGTTGTTAAGGCTTTCAAACTTGGAATGTATTAATGCTGAGTCATTTTTGGTCCAATTTACTACAGATTTGTTGATAGGGACATGTTCATGTACTATCAAGGCAGAGGAATCAGACACAAAAGTATGTAGCATTTAAATAGCTACCTACTACATAACACACTACAAGAACAAAACAATGACAAGATGGATGGTGAAGTATTGGAAGAGGAGGAGGAGACTGATAGTAATGACAAGGATCTTGAAAGTGAAGAACAGAATGATGAGGAAGGTGAATTGGACAGTTATACAGACCTATAGTGAATATTAGACATGCTATTTACATGTAAGGTAATTTTGTGGTCATACACAGCAAATGACAATCTGTTGATCATCTATACAACTGTTTTTGCTAATTGAATATAGTACTATGAGTATTCTACTAGGCTGATTCCTTGTTACCATCTTACCAACTTTTACAGTGAGTAAAATGAATCTTCTTTTAATGGGTACTATCTATACCTCCATCTTGGCTCAGTTTGCACTAACTGTAGCATTCTTCAGAGCAATCCTTGACTTTACTACTATCACACAGTTTCTCACAGTTTGTAGAATAGAGAGTGCTACATGTGTTGCTACTGTTTTTACAGATTCTTTCATTACTGTCACCATACTCTATTTACTGTGTCATATGTCTGTTAGTAATCTTTAATACACTACTACTGTCTGATTCAAGCATATACAGAATTTGCAAGGTTGTTTAGAGACTCAGAACAATAAGGATGACTATTGGGTCAAAGTTTGCAAGTAGTGTAGTATAACTCAACAGCTTCATCAAGGTCTTCTGGCTGTTCACACTGCTTGTATCTCTTGCTTCATTATCTTGCTTACTTTGTTGTCTCTTACAGTACTCTCCAGACACACTTTCACCCAGGCTTGGCTCTGCAACAAGTAGTAACAACTCTCAACCCCCTGTCAATAATCTGCTCAACATTGACTTTAATAAACTCACTGAGTACCATTCACAGCCTCATACAGTACTCTCCAGACACACTTTCACTCAGACTTGACTCTGTAACAAGTAGTAACAACTCTCAATCCCCTGTTAATAATTTGCTCAATGTTGACTTTGATAACATGCTTGCATTCCTTTTGCTTCACAGTTGTACACACATGCTCCTAACAACTTGTATTTACAATTACCTTTGGTAAGTCCCTTCCCTCACTTGCATTTGACCTGAGATCTCCAGACTTACTTCTTATCTTACACAGCACTCTCCACACCTGCCCCCCCTCTGTTTTTTGGGCCAATCTGGACACATACAAAACAAAGGATGCAAAATGTGCATCCTGTAAGGCTGGCACTAATAAAATTCTGGGAGTACTTAGGGAAGCACTCCCAGATTGTTATAGCTGTATTAAAACAGCTAAAATTGTGTAAGTTCTTATATTTTTTACTTTTTTCTACTACTAACATTATTATTATTATTATTAGGGGTAGTATTCATGAGTCAGGTAATGACAATACTCTACACCTTCTAATAAGATGTTTTAGGAAGAAGAAATTGGTAGGATCTATACACCTGCCTTTTGTTAATAATGTGAGTTTTTTTTACCTTTGTCTTGTCTTTCTTTGCTAATATTATCTTAAGGAATTCAATTTCAAGGGGGCAACTATTAGTTACAAGACAGCTAAAAAAATTGTAATTAAAAAGATCTTGTAATATTTTCTTTTACTTTGTATTTTATTTACATCTGTTATACTTCTATAACACACACATTACAAACTAGTACTATATATTTATTAAGATTAGAACCCTAAAAATAGAGTTTTTAATTATTATATACATTAATTTGCCTTTTGTATTAATTATCTACTAAAAATAAATATTTTTGCTTAATTATATTACAGATATCACTCTGTTTTTAAGATTATAATACTTATATAATCTAAGTATAATACTTTAGCTTATAATGT